AAACTTTCTACATCATCTCAATAAAAATCCCTACACTAATAAGAATAATATCGAGTAATTACTGCAGTGCATCAAATCACAACTACTTTTATTTTGATTTTGCATTTTGCAGCAAATTCCTAATAGAATAGTGAACAAGTGTGGAGGTACTTTATCAATTCCAGTCCTTCTTAAGCTTCCATGCGGCTTAAAATGGAAGGTAAGATTGACAAAGTGTGATGGCAAGGTGTGGATAGACAAGGGTTGGAGAGATTTTTTGAAGTACTATTCCCTAGGACATGGGGATTTATTGGTTTTTAAGTATGAAGGGAATTCTCAATTCCATGTTCTCATATTTGACAAAAGTACTACAGAGATAGATTATCCCTCCAATCCCAACTGGATTGTGAAACATAATATTGGAAGATCACAACCCCAAGAGGTAAAAGAAGAAGAAGATGATGATTCCGTTGAAATTTTGGAAAGCTTTTCACCGTTTCCTAAAAGAAGGGAGAAATCTCAACTAACGTGTTCTTGGCCGCGTAAGAGAATGAAAACCGGTCCTGATCATGATGAAACTCAAAGGGGCTCATCTCATCCAAGAAGTAAAGGTACACATTATCAACTAATTTGTGATTTGAAGTCGAGAGAAGTTTATTTATAGTAGTGATGATTCACATTGTTCCAAATACGAAAGGAAAGGCGCGTCGAAAACTTTGTTGGTTTTACTCATTTCTTAACTTGTTCTTTTGGGCCTTCAGGTAAGTTTAGGATGCAGATTTTGGAAGCGAATACTAGTCAAGAAGTCACCATGAGGCCTTCATCTTCAGGAGACATCAGAGCTTCTGAAGCAGCCAATAAATTCTTTTCAACAAATCCCTATTTCCAAGTGTCTTTGCAATCAAGTCACTTTAAACCAACCAATTCTAGAGTGGTAGGGAAAAAATATATGCCCACATGTACAATTTGCACACTGCCTTGTAAAAATTCTCAAGCTGAAATAGGATAACAATGTGAGAAAGTTTCACTTCTCTTGATCAAAAAGCCTTGTTTTGGGTGCTAGTTTTAATTTGATTTATTTGGCTTTGCAGCGTGTACCTACTGCTTTTGCAAGAACTTATTATGAGGAAAGGACACAAAACTGTGAATCTTCAAGTAGGTGAGAGAGAG